AAAGTTCATTAGATAAAATATGAAATATATTTTAATAATTTATTTTTTTAATATTTACATTTTTCTATAAATTTAGTGAAAATTGGAGATATTTGACTTAGGACAATTGGACAAACCTAATTAAAATAACTTGCAATTTAAAATGTAGTGGTATTGTTTAGCAATTAGCATAGACCATTAGATGATTATAGAGTCATATATATACATGGTTTGAGTTTTTTATTAATCTTGTCATTTTTAGATCCTTCTTGACAAACATGGTGGTTTGTTTTTAACACTATGGTAATAAGATAATGCATAGATAGATTTGTAGATCCAAAACTGTAGAAAGGAAAACAACGCTACTAGTACTTCAAAAAGCAGGCCATTCTACATAACACTATGACAGGTAGCTGTGCAAGTGCGCAGTGCTGGAAACGCCTTGATCATCAAAAGTTGTAACGGAACTGCACTCGTAGCTTGGATTAACTTTGGAATTCTACTCGTTATTCGATCAGACACTTGTAGCACTGTACCCACATTTGCTTACATCAATCCATCATCGACAAAAAGTCCAGTAAAACAGCAACGTGTATGCAAAGAGAAAATTGCTATAATGGGACTCCAAAGAACTGGCTTCGCTAAAATAGGAATCCTAACATTTGCTTCTCTAAAATGGGACTCCAAACATTAACAATTTGTTTTCCATGACATTTTGATACTTTTAATCATATTTGGGTTCTTAAATACGTGTATTTTTCTTTAATGACCGTATTACCCTTTTGTCTAATCTCATCTATCGATTCATCTACCTGTACGGAAACAAACGAGACCGACGTCTTCCTCTCCGTCACGTACGAGACGCGCCGCCGCCCCTCCTTCCCTCCCCACGCCGCCTTCTCCTCTCCATGGATGGAGAGCCTCCGCCCGACGGAGTCCGTCGAGGGCCGTCGGCCATGGACAACGAAGCTGCGCCTGGTGCCCTAGACGAGGCTGCGCCTGGTGCCCTGGTCGCGGTGGCGCGTGGAGGGCTTGACGTCGCTCCTGGTTGCCATCCCCTTGGCGCCGGAGGCCGCCGCCGCCCTCCTGAGTGGCCATCTCATGGCGCTAGGAGAGGCTGGCCATGAGCTCAAGGCCATCCGTGCCGAGGTTGGTCTTTGGAGGCTGGCCGCGGCTGATGGTGGTCTGGCCACGACTCCTGGTGGCCTGGCCGCCCAGGCCGGAGCAGCTGATGGCCTTCCACAGCTTGCCATGGAGAACACCAACAATGTTGTAGCCCTAGCAAGAGCACTGCTGCCTGCTGCTCCTCTTCCGGCAATAGAGTACAACCTTCCTGTTCTTCAAGTGGAAAGGTAGTGATAACTTATTTATTTGGGATACATGTGAATTTATTAGGGCGTTAACCACAGTACTCACCCATCACTTTTTTTATATGACATTAGGTATCAATTTGCCACAATTTTAGGGCTATAGTGTGAAGGGTGTCGTGTATGCAAGCGTAGTGTAGTGTATACATAATTTTTCTTGAGAGCTGCTAGCTTCAGCTTGTTGGTGCACACCTCATAAAAGTAACTTGTACTTGTAATATGTTTGCTTGTCATTTATATTAAATAAAATCAAAGTTGTTGTTGGATCTGAAGTATTTATAGTTATCTTCTTTCTGTCTACTTTATGTCGCTATTATGCAGTTCCCAAATAAATAATTAGTGCACATCATTTATATTAAACATATAATTAGTGCTTGTTTTATTACACTAATATGTCCCTATTATGCAGTTCCCAAATAAATAATGTGGAAAATATAGAAAGAGTTGATTGGGCTACCATACAAATAGTTGAGACTCATGATGATGAAGGTCGAATTCAACTTATGAGTGAGAGTCAGATGTGTGAGATTTTAGGCTTGACAGATGAGGGCACACCAAATATACCTATACAGGGATTTGATCGTCGAATGGATGAACAAGGCAATGATAATGACCGTGGGGAAGATGTTGATGGTGCTGCCATTCCTACTAATGACGACGTACCAGGTGAGATGGTCATTTCATATGACAAGAACAACCCATGCATGGAGGTAGGGACACAATACCCAACAATGGAAGAGTTCAAGTTGGCAGTTCGCCAATTCGCCATCAAGAAGGAGTTCCATTTAGGAGTAGAGAAGTCATGTAAGAAGAGATATAGGGCTTATTGCAAGTCTGGTGATGAGATGACTGGCCCTTGTCCTTGGAAGATAAATGGCAACAAATTGGATGGTTGCGCAACTGTGGAGGTGAATAATTTTTTGTATGACTTCATTCATTGTTCTTGTTATGTAAATTAATATCATTTTCTTTGTTTTGCAGGTAACCGTTTTAGTTGATAAACATGAATGTGTGTCTAGCCAGAGGATGCAGGTTACAACTCCAAGTTGCAAGTGGGTATGTAGCAAGGCCGTGGATATCCTTAGAGTTCAACCAAACATTGATACTAAGGAACTGCAAATGAGGTTGGAGAATGATCTGAATAATAAATGTACAATTGGTTATGACACTGTATGGTGGGGTAAACAAAGAGCTCTTGAGCAGGTTTATGACAAATGGTCAGAAAGTTTTGAGCTATTGTTTAGGTGGAAGGCCGAGGTGATGAAGCGGAGTCCTAGGAGTGTTGTTGAGATTGATGTTCTTGAGGTGGATGGTGAGGTATATTTCCACCATTTTTTCTATGCCCTTAAACCATGCATTGATGGTTTCTTGGAAGGTTGTAGGCCTCATTTGAGCGTAGATGCTACAGCACTTAATGGGAGGTGGAATGGTCACTTGGTTGTGCTGTAGCAGTTGATGGTCACAATTGGATGTATCCAGTGGCTTATGGCTTCATGGCTTCGAAAACAACAGACAACTGGACTTGGTTCATGGAACAATTGAAGAAAGCTATAGGTGATCCTCCACTCCTTGCTGTTTGTTCTGATGGTTGCAAGGGCTTGGAGAACGCACTGAAGAATGTATTCCCCAAGGCAGAGCAAAGGGAATGCTTTTATCATATGGTCAGAAACTTCAAGAAAAGATTTAGAGGGTTTGGCAAGATATATCTTGCTGCAAGGGCTTATAGAGAGGACATTTTCTATGACAATATAGCAAAAATGTTAACTAAATCAGCTGCAGCAGTGCAATGGTTATAGGCCAATCATAAGCTATTATGGTATAGGTGTGGTTTTAAACCAGAAATTAAGTGTGACTACATAACTAGTAACATTGCTGAGTCATTTAATAACTGGATTAGAGACCATAAGGACTTACCGGTTGCTGACCTTGCTGATAAGATCAGAGAAATGATCATGGTATTGTGGAACAAGAGAAGAATTATTGCATACAGGCTACCTGAAGGCAGGATACTCCCAGCTATTATGGTTCAGCTAAGAGCAAACACTAGAGGTTTGGGACACTTGAAAATTATGGCATGTTCTAACTGGAGTGCAGAGGTGTGGGACCATAGCGGCGTCGTTTCTATGAGGCATATTGTCAAGTTACGCCAGAGGACATGTACTTGTCTTGAATGGCAGCACACTGGTAAGCCATGTCAACATGTATTGGCCTATGTAACCCACGAAAGGGGAGTGAATATAGAACAGTTCGTGCATGACTACTACTATGTGAATAGATTCAGGGCTGCTTATAGTAGAGAAATTGAGCCAATAACAGATAAAACACAATGGCCACAAGTCGACCTACCATTCTTAGTTGGTGCACCTCTGGCTAAATTACCTGTTGAAAGACAGAGGAAACTAAGAATTAAGGGATGGGAGGAATGTGGACACAAGAAGAAAGGTAAATATACCAATGAGGGTGAAGGTGAGAAGGGATGTGACAACGATACTGTTCAAACAAATGCAAAGGGACATAAGATGATCAGAGGACCTATGACTTACAAAAGATGCGGAGAAAAAGGTCACGGGAAAGCTAGTGCCAAGTGCCCTTACAATGAGACTGCAAAAAAGAGGTAATAAGTTTTTTTCTTTATCAAGAAACAAAAATGAACATGCCTATACTAATTTAATTCATTACTTGTAGCAAGCGTAGGCAACCTAGGAAGAATGTGACAAAAGAAAGGCCCGCAGAACCTAGCACCCCATGAAGGCCGACTAGGGAAGAAATCCTACGGGATAGTCCAGGAAGGGTCACTAGAAGATAAGGAATATTAACACATTTACTATACAGTTATTTTTCCATACATCTAATTGTCGATCTTATTTTTGTGCAGCAAGCTTGCGATATTATTTGGAGAGGGCACATCTTCACAAACTGACAACATCACTAGCCCCGTGAGGATGCCTACCGTGGTGCCGCCAAAAAAGATGACTCCAAAGAGAAAGCTACACATTGGATGATGAGTTAATTTAGTTGTGATGAGATGTAAACTCAAGATTTATTTCATATGACTTTGATCTCGTTTGGAACTATATTATTGTCTTCTAAGATGAACATGTTTATGTTGTTTATGCTACAAACATGGTTTTGCGAGATGAACTTGTTTGTGCTAAATTCTTGTTATTATATATTGCTTGTAATTGTGTATGAATCACTTTGTTAATTCATGCTGTTATATAACTATACATGGCGGCAAGCCAGCCATGGTCACGGCCAGCCAGCCCAGGCCAGCCATGACCACGGCCAGCGACCCAGGCCAGCACGGCCGGCCAGACAGCCACCACGGCAACCAGCAAGCCAGCCAACACGGCAGCCAGCAAGGGCCAGCCAGCACGGCAACAAGGCAGCTAGCCCAGGCCAGCCAAGTAGCGGCAGCTAGCAAAGCCACGCACGGTGTTTAATGACTCAAGGGTAAAATAGTTATTTCAAGGAACAAATACATGTATTTAGATAAGAAAAGAGATTAAAAGGATCAAATATCATGAAAAACAAGAAACAAATGTTTGAAGTCCCATTTTAAAAAAGCAAACGTTAGGATTCCTATTTTAGCGAAACGACTTCTTTGAAGTCCCGTTATAGCAATTTTCTCGTATGCAAAACAAACGGAGAAAAATGACTACTGATGATAGACAGATGGTAACACGATCAGAGCTCGTCGTTGTACATGGGCTCGAAGCTCCCATAGCGCTTCCCAACGGTGGCGAGGTAGTTGAGCTTGCGGTGCTCCCAGACGGCCGCCGCGACCGCCTCATCGGGGAACTCCGTGCAGTACGCCTCGCGGTGCTCGCCAACGGGACAATGGATGTAGTAGCCCTCCCTGTAGCCCAAGTGCGCCGGAAGCGGCAGCGGCGCCCGGGTCGGCAACGGGAAGATGACGCGCCAGGTGTTCCTCCACGGTAGGATTGACAGGGGGGCCTCGAGCGTGCGCACGGTGCAGTAGATGTGGAGGGGTCGTCATCGCGACCGTGGTGTCGTCCGTAGAGCACGGAGAAGAGGCGATAGGCGTTGTCGGCGTGGCAGAGCGGATGCAGGCACATCGAGCGGAGGTTGGTGTCGGGGTTCTTGCGCGGAAATGTGCGGTCGATGGCGTCGGTCTCGTTGTCGTAATTGTAGACGTTGCAGGTGGCGTGGTTCAGTCGGAAGCAATCCTCGTAGATGGCGTGGACCGGGGCCGCCAGGGAGGTGAGCGCCAGCAGAGCGGCGACGGGCCGCGGGAGGAAGGGGACGGCGACGAGCAGGGGCAGGGGCAGCGCCTTCTTCTTGGCTGCTGCTGTGACGCCGCGCGGTGTCGGCGCGACGCTGTCGACGGCAACCGCTCGCTTGTGGACGGCCGAAGCGCCGAGGAGGACCGACCGGTGGCCGAATCCTGGCTGGGCGAGGGCGGCACCGGCGGCGCGCGGCGCCCGCACGAGCCGGCGTGGCCACCCGGCGGCGAGGGCCTAGCCCGGGGGAGGGCAGGACCGGCGGTGAGGGCCACCCAGCGGTGAGCAGCGCCTGGCCCACGCAGGGCCGTGGCCTGCTGGCCATGCGCGCCGGCGGACCGATGGCCTTGGCTGCGGCGTCGAGATGGCACAGCGGCGGGGAGGCACGGGCGAGGGCGCGGCGCGGCCAACTCGGCGGGGCGCACCGGACCTTTCATGCGGCACTTCCGTCCTGGGAATAAGGCTCGTCCTCATCGCTCCACCGCACCGGACCGGGAGTCCGGGAGCCGCCACCAGGAGTCTCGAGAGGAAGGTTGGGGAAGGATGAATCGAATAAATGAGGAATACCCTCCCCGTACCTGTGTTTCATCAGGTATTACCCGTACCCGAGCGGGTACACAGTTTTCTATCCATACCCTACCTTTTTACGTGGGTATGGATTTGGGCACGGGGTATGAATACCTGGCGGCAGGTTTAGTAATAATACATCAAAGAAGCGGTTAATCGAAGGCTGGCTGTTATTATATTAGTTAAAGAAAACACCACAACTCCATGAGGCTTCCTCCCAGTTGGTAGCAACGAGTATAATAAAGTTAGTTCCTTTAGCTTTCAGCGCGTACGTCATACTAGTAGTTTCCTCAGCACTTGAGATGTAGATTATGCATGCCATTTGAAATTTGAAACTTGAAAGTGAGTGACGGTTGTAACTTCTTTGTTACGGCGGAAAATTTGTAAATTCATCCTCCACGCCTCCACAAAGCAGCCGTGGGCTGCCTTGCATTTGCACAGAAATACTGTGGCAGATAAATTGACGTTCAACCTTTATAGCTTGGTTAATTGCTTAATATTATCTTCGTTTTAAATTATAAGTTGTTTTAACTTTGTTCTAGATCAAACTTGTCTAGTTTTAACTAAGTTTATATAAACATTTTATTAACATCTACAATATGGCTTCAATAAATGTGTTATCAAAATATATTTTACTAACTATTAAATGAATCTTATTTGACTTTGTAAGTGTTTTGTATTTTTGTATGAACTTGAGTGAACCTATATAAGTTTGATTTATAACAAAATAAAAAAGAATTATAATTTAAAATAGACGGCATATATACATTTTGTGCACGCCAGGTGCGACCACATGGTTGATATATCTGCCCATGCATGTCGAGTTGATTATGAGTAGCATCAATCATGCAATGGGCCTGTTCGTTGGTTTGAAATTTGGTCTTTGTTTTGAAATTTGGTTGGTGTTGGTTTTTTAGAAAAAGTTGTTTGTTGATTTTTTTTTTTTTAAAAAACCTTTGTTGATTGGTTGGTTTGACCTGAATAGGTGATAAACAACATTAGAAATTGTTCCACTTTGACAAATGCCTAGGATACATTCAATAGAGTCATGAGCTCCATTAATAGTAGTACCTCTAGATGGAACAAGACCATGGCAAACTCGATGCCGTTGTTGTTGGACGGCTAGTCTAGGATGATAGGGAACAACCTCGTCAAACTATACTACTAGTTCGGTTGCATTGAGGAAGTTCTAAAATATTTTTTTTGACTGTCAACGGGGGAAAGGCTCCCCACCTGAGTTTTTTATTTCATTGATCTAGGCCCCTTAAAGGTAGCCCATCTTGTTTTTAAATTACATCACCTTTTCTGAAACTTATTTCAATTACATATCGAAACTAAGAATTGGCACCAAGCATCTGCTGTTGTTCTATCTTTCTTGGGTAGCCGTCTCTCCCATAGCTTAGCATCAGCTTCTATCAGTCGAACCGTCTGCCTGATGGTGGCTACTTCCTCTCTGAACACAACGCCATTCCTTCGTTTCCAGAGGTGCCAGTAGCACAGGGCCATGAAAGTGCTGAAGTGTTGTTTTGGGAAGGCCGGCGGGCATTGGACGTTGATCAGACGGTCATCTGGATGCGTCTGGTTGCTGTGGAATCCCAGATTTTGCCAAAATTCTTGAGCAAATGGGCAGTCAAAGATAATGTGTTCGCCCGTCTCCTCTGCTTGGTTGCAGACTTCACACATCGGGCTATCCACTATGGATTTGCGACAAAGATTTACACGGCATTGCACCCTTCCATGGATGAGCAACCACACGAAGAACTGCACTCTTGGTGGCGCGTGGCTATCCCAAATAAACTTGGCTGCTGAATTTGTTGGCCTCGTTCTTGATGGGAGCAGTCGGTATAGGCCACCAGAGTCGAGCTTCCCCTGACCAAGGCAGAACGGACCCCGGCGTTTGTCCCGGCTGTCACTGAAAATGTCCAAGTTTGCAATCTACCGAAGTTGAGATAGTTCATTGCTTGCCTCTGAGGAAAGCCTGGGTACCAGAAAGTTTGAAGAATCCACTCCCATCTCAATTGCTTGCGCAACAGACAGATTTTTCTTTGTGCAGTGACTGTGTAAGGCTGGGAACCTATCAGCCAGAGCATCTTCATTGTGCCAAGCATCATACCAGAACGATGTGTCTTTTCCATCCCCAACATCAACCACAGTGATTGCCTGATAAAGTGGCAGCAGGGAGCGCAACACATTCCAGTGTTCACCAAAGAGGTCCCCCTCCAGATTTGCCAAAGATGCACGCTTCCTTACCCAATATGCCCATGCCGATTCCAGGGAGCAGTGTAGACGATGCAGCAACTTCAGTAGCAAGCAAACATTTTGGAGCCCCAAGTTCTTTAGGTCTAAACCTCCCTGATCCTTTGACAGGCATACCCGTTCCCAAGCAATCAGGCTCTGGGCGGATGTGGCTTCATTGTCCCCGTTCCACAAGAAAGACCGTCGTAGACGATCCATCTTATGCAGCACCGCCACCGGGATGGACAGTGCGCTCATTGCATATACCAATTGCGAATCAAGCACAGAGTTCACCAAAACCGCACGACCCATGGGGTTAAGCAGTGCCGCCTGCCAGCCCGCTAGATATCTATCGGTTTTATCAATGTAGCAGTTGAACGCAGACGCTGGTAATTTGTGCACTAAGATAGGCAGCCCAAGGTAGATTTGGGGGAAGTCTTCCAATTTGCACCCTAGCAATGAGAAGCATTGCTGCTTGCTGCCGGGGTTCAAAATTTCGGCGAAATTTCGGTCGAATTTCACGAAATTCAGTAATTTCGGTGGTGGCCGAAAGAAAACTCCGAAATTTTTTAATACACTAATACATGTGCTATATAATTCTAATCTTATATTTTTCTATTGTTTATATTGCATATTCTTCTATTTAATAGATATGTAGTCATAAATCATACTAATATTTGTTTAGATCTAAATTTTTTTAGAAAAAACATACTTCATGTGCTAATCTCTAAAAAAATTCGACGAAATTTTGGCCGAATTTCGCGAAATTCGGTAATTTCGGTGGTGGCCGAAATTTTGGCGATACCGAAATTAAAAACCTTGCTTGCTGCTGTTGTCCATATGAACCGGCACTGATGTGCTTTTATTATAGTTTATGCGGAGTCCGGTGGCCTCGGCAAAGAGGTCTAGCAGTTGTGCAAGGGAAGCAACATCTGTCGGATCTCCTCTTACCACGATAAGAGTGTCATCAGCATATTGAAACACCGGGCATGGACAATCATCATTGATGGGGTGACGCACTGTGTGTTCTGATTTATTTTGATCAGCTGCTGTAATGTTTCTGCAACAAGCAAAATTAGATAAGGGGATAAAGGGTCACCCAGTCTCAGCCCGCGCTTACAATTTATCCATGGCCCGGGGCACCCATTAACTAGAATAGCAGTCTAGGAGGATTGGAGGATGTTCTGAATCCAGGAGCACCAGAAGCTGTTGAACCCATGGGCTGCTAAGGTTGTCTGCAATCCCTCCCAGTTAACTGTGTCAAAAGCCTTAGCAAAGTCCAATTTGATAACAAGAGTAGGAACTTTCCTCAAGCCGTCCGGATCCTCCGCAAGCGGGGCGATGAAGTGGTGGTCGTGGAAGAGGAGGACACCACCAAGGAGGTTAGGAGGCTAGAGTCCACCCTTTCCACGGCGATGAAACATATCAAGGTTAGTATTGCGTCATCAATGTTCGTCTTTGATGTTGGAGATTGGAGTTCTTCATAATCTTGGTCTTTTGCAGGGCATAGCACAAACTGCCGAACAACGGCGGCAGCTGATCAAGAGGATGGAGCCCCTCGCCGAGGAGAACACAAAGCTGAAGGAGGCGGTGAAGCTTATGGAGAAAAACGTACAGAGGGCCCAGCACGAGCGAGATCTTGCCGAATCTAATGCGCGGGATCTGGAATACCAAAAAGGGGCTTTATCCGAGCAACTTGGCGATCGTGTCCGAGCAGTTGCGGGCAGCTCCGAGCAGCTGAGAAGCCTCTCCGAGTAGAAAAAAAAAGGTACTGCAGATCGGTGAACTTTTTCTGTATTGCCGAACAACTTTAATGTTGCTGACGATCATCACTTTTGTAGAGCAAGATGCGGAGCTCAGCCAGTTGCGTCAGATCGTCGATCAGCTCCAGGAGGAGAAGGAGAAGGCGTCTGGGCGAGCAGAAAAACTGATCGAGGAGCTGAAAGGTGAGTACTTCGTGGTTGGAGTTATTGCTGAAGTGACTTCTTCGTTTGACGGATCCTTTTGGTGCCTGCAGAATACCGTCGAAGGACCAAGGGCCAGTTCGACGTGCTGGAGCTAGAGGCGCAAACCCAGAGGCGAAAGCTTGACGCCATGGTGGCCGGAGTCAGGCCGGTGCTTGACTGCATCAACATGGAGGCAGCTCCTCAGCCCGACGACAGGCCGTCTCATTCGGAGACCATCATCGACAGGTGCAAGGCGGCATGAGAGAACTTCAAAAGCTTCAACCGCGACACCACTGTCTCTGCCGTAACCCATGCCCTAGCGGTAGTCCGGTCTCATTACCCTACCATCGATCTGCGAGCGATAGGGGCCGGATTCGCTAGAGGGACTGGTGCGACGAAGCAACAGGAGCTAGAAGATGAGGTGGAGGACGCGGCGAAGAGGCTGGCCGGAGACGTCGACCTATTCGGCGAGGTGGATGGAGAGGGCCAAACATAATGACCTACTCGGAGAGTAATCTGTAACAGCTGGAGAGAATA